ATCTAATAAGATCAAGTTGGGAGGCCTGGTGTGGCTCGGCAGGATAATGCGCTGAACTGCAAGGTTGGCAGTTCAAACTCACCAGCTGCTCCTCAGGAACCCTATGCAGGGTCACTATGAGTTTGGAACCAGCTCAAGCACCCCAACAACAAACAACAATAAGATTAGGTTATCTCCTACGTTTTTTCCCTATCCTAAAACCAGGGTATGGTAACTGCTATCTTTTCATCCTTATAGAAAAAGGATAATTGAGTGAATAAATGTAAGACATGAGATTCCTTCCTCTCCCCTCAAAAAGAGGGAACCACCTAAAGTGTAAAGGATATGGGTGGGAGGCTAAAGGGATCCTTAATTCATCTCTCTAAACCTGTTTTCCGTTTCTCTAGTAGGTTCTATAGGGGCATAGGCTGTTCACCTCAAATGAAGTAATATCAGGAACTCTTGTGAACCCTATTTCCACATACTGCAGAGTTTCAAATTGAGGGAGCAAGAAATAGACTTTTTAAGGCATCCTGATGAGTTAGGCAGGAAGGTGAGGATGTCCTGGGCCCCATATGGCTAAGGTGGAGCTATCCTTTCTCTATCCTGTCCCAGCCGTCTACATTTATGAATATTCCATAATTCCAGGAGAGATCATTGACGATGAAACTGTAGTACCATTGCTTCTGTACACCAAATGTTTGCTTTGGGACCACCATAATAACAAAGCAATCTTTCTTAAGTCCCCGCTTAACAAATAGCCACCTCTCTTCTTGCCACTGGGCTTTTTCTTTATCATCTTTTCTTCTATTGGGAATGTCAGGGTCTTGTATGCCTAATTTAGTCTTTAAATTTATATTATGTGAAATTCTCTGTCCTCTTTAAAACCTAGTTAATAATTATTCAGCAATTTTGCATCAAGCATCTTTATTTGAGCATGATATATATATATATATATATATACTGCCATTCTAAAAAACTGATAATATGAGTGATTTTTTTTTAAATAATATCACAAACTCCCGGGATTGTTCCATAATCCTAGGAAAAATTGTTGGAAGATGAAACTATCGTGTCATTACTTCTAATCACTACTTATGATGATGATCCTGCTTGAATTCAGAAGCTGTTTTACATATGAATGAACCCAAAGGTTGTTATAAACCCAGTTGTTAAATACTGTTTCTGTTGTCAGATAATCTATCCCATGTGACATTCGTCATTTTATAGCCACTTTCATTTTTAAAATGGTCTGTGTTCTAGTCTTAATAATATGTGTTGTTGTTGTTGTTAGGTGCCATCGAGTCGTTACTGACCCATAACGATCCTATGCACAGCAGAACGAAACACTGCCCGATCCTGGGCCAACCTCACTACTGTTGCCACACTTGAATCCATCGATGCTGCCACTTGGCCAATCCATCTCATTGGGGTCTTCCTCTTTTTCTTTGACCCTCCACCTTACCAAACATGATATCCTTCTCCAGCGACTGGTCCTTCCTGACAATATGTCCAAAGTATGAGAGGCGTAGTTTGGCCATCCTGGCCTCCAAGGAGCACTCTGGCTGCTCTTCTTCAAAAACAGATCTATTGGTTCTTTTGGCAGCCCATGGCACTTTCAGTATTCTCCTTCAACACCAGAACTCAAAAGCTTCAATTCTTCTATGGTCTTCCTTATTTACTGTCCAGCTTTCGCATGCATATGAGATATTGAAAATACCATGGCTTGGGTCAGGCACACCTTAGTCTTCAAGCTGACGTCTTTGCTCTTCAACACTTTAAAAAGATATTGTGCAGCAGATTTGCCTAATGCAATACATCATTTGATTTCTTGACTGCTGCTTCCGTGAGTGTTGATAGTTGATCCAAGAAGAATGAAGTCCTTGACAACTTCAATCTTTTCTCCATTGATAAGAATGTTGTTTATTGGTCCAGTGGTGAGGATTTTTGTTTACATTGAGATGCAATCCATACTGAAAGCTGTGCTCTTTGATCTTCATCAGTAAATGTTTTAAGTCCTCTTCACTTTCAGCAAGCAAGGTTGTTAATGAGTCTTCCTCCAATCCTGATACCACGTTTTCCTTCATAGAACCCAGCTTCTCGGATTATTTGCTCAGCATACAGGTTGAATAAGTATGGTGAAAGAATAGACACATATATGTATAAAATGGAGTCCTGGTGTGGTGATAAGCACTGGAGGATAAGCACTGGACCACAGGGTTGCAGTTCAAACTCACCAGATCCTTCTTGTAAATCCTATACTGGTTCGTTATGAGTAGGAACCGACTTGACGACACTTAGCAACAACAATATACAAAACAAATATATATATATAGTTGTTGACTTAAGTGCCATTAAGTCAATTCCAACTCAGAGTGACCCTGTATAGTGCTTCCACGAAATGGCTGGTGGGTCTGAACCTCAGACCTTGCGATTAGCAGTCCAGTGCTTATCCTACATCGACCGCCACACCAGGATTCCCTAGATAGATAGATCTTTTCTAACCACACTCTTTTAACACTCTGTTGTCTTGATATTTATCAGCCATGATAGGGTTAATAATATTCCTAAAATATCTTAAATTTAAGTGTTAGCACATGGCATTTATTCTTCAGTACGATCAACCATTTCAGACCAAAAGGATATATTTGTCCCAAACCAAAGCTCAGAAGGCAGGAAGTGGCAGGCAAGAAGGATGGATGGAAACAGGGAACCCACACAGGTAGGAAGTGGGAAGAGTGCTGTTACACTGAGAGGGTTACAACCAATGTCATGAAAGAAATTGGGTGTAAATTGTTGAGTGCAAAATAAATGTACTCTATATATTGTCACCCAAACTACAATGGTAGCGTAGTGGTTACAAATCAGGCTGCGAATCACAAGGTCAGCAGTTCGAAACTACCAGCTGTTCCGCCGGAAAAAGATGAGGCTTTCTGCTCCCGTAAAGATTTACAGCCTTGGAAACCCTGTACAGGGTCGTTATGAGTCGGAACCGACTCCACGGCACATAACAACAACAATATATTGTCACACAAACTACAATAAAATGTTTCAAAAAATAGTCTTAAGACATTGTTAACCAAAGAATAAAAAGATTTGTTGTTAAGTGCCTTCATGTCAGTTCTGACTCAGAGTGACCCTGTCTAGGGTTTCTGAAGAGTGACTGGTGAGTTAGAACCACCAACCTTGCAGTTCAAACCAAGCTTGTGGTCCAGCGCGTTATTTTGCAGCACCACACTGGGACATCTAGTTTTAAATGACTATTAGCACCCACTGTCAGAGGGGGCACAACTGATGTAGAGGTGCTTCTGGATAATACGTCTAGAATATCATTTAATATCATTGTTGGTAAGTGCCGTCAAGTCGGTTCCAACTCATAACAACCGTGAATCATTTCTGAGGAGCGGCTGGTGGTGTTTATAATATGCAGACCCATCTGTGGTACGAGTTCAGTGGTCTGTGTCATAATAGTGTTAGCAGCAGTATGGCATGGGCCAGTAAGGGGAGATGCACAGGCTGGGAAGTGGAGAGACCACTTATTATGGAACATTGCACGTGTCCAGGACAAACTTGGTAATGACCTGAATAGGGAGAAGGAAAAGAGAGGAAAGGATGGTACTTGGGGATTAATTGTTGTCGTTGGGAAGTTCCATCAAGTCAGTTACAACTCATAGTGACCCTGTATAGGTTTTCCAAGGAGCCCTTGGTGAGTTTGAACTACTGACCTTGCAATTCAAACTGACCTTGCAGTTCAGTGCTTATTCTACAGCTCCATACCAGAGGACTAATTAGATGCAGGATAATGAGCAGCCAAGGGTGATTCACAAGTTTCTGGCCAGTGAGAAAGAATGGATGACTATGTTGTTAAGTGCCTTCGACTTGGGTTCAATTTATAGTAACCCTGTATAGGGTTTCTGAGGTGCATCTGGTGGATTTGAAACACTGGACTTGTGATTAGCAGTCCAGTGCTTATCCTACAATGCCTCACCAGGACTCCTACCAACCAAAATAAAATAACTAAAGGGGAGTGATCACGTGAGTGTGGTGGGAGAGAGGTGGTAGTTTTACTGACTTTACAGTGTCATCAGACGTAACTCGAAAGTGAGAAAATAAAGTCAGCAAGTATAGAAGTCTGAATACAAAGAATGAGGGGAAGTGGGTGGATTGAGTGAGGGGAATTTGGGGTGGAAGACATCTGTCCATGTTCCTCATCAAGACGTCTCTTGAAAGTGTCTAATCTTGACCATCAAAAACTCTTCCCTGCAAACTCTCCCTCAATTTAATTAGTATTACAGTCTACCTTTCCAACTATTACTCCCCAGCCAGGAAAAAAAAAAAACAATAGAAACAGAGAGGGAGGGAGGAGTTGGATTGTGAATGTTTTTGAGAAGTTGTGGAGGGCAATGGGAAGGGATATCTATCAAAGACAAGAGACTAAATGAGGCTTCATTAGTTGAGGACCCAGTTGGAAACCAAGATCTTGTAGTGGACTCCAAACCCCCTAGGTTTTCCGCTTTATGCAGATGTGCATGTGTGTGAGAATGGAGAGAGATGTGGGATCAGTGTGGAATTGAGCTGAATTGTGTTTCACTACTACCCAGTTAAAGTTTCTGCATTGATGAAAATGCTCTAAATCTTTGCTCTCCAAATAACAGCCACTTATAGTTATTGAGTAATTGACATGTGGTTACTGTCTATGGCCAGCCATGCCACCCTGAATGCTCCCGATCTCATCCAACATGTGGTTACTGTAATCGAGGAGCTGAAGCTTTCATTTTACTTAATCTTATTTAAGTTATAAATGGAAACATATGGCTAGTGGCTACCATAGTGCACAGCACAGATCTAAGTTTAGGAGTATCACTCCTATTGATACCGTCAACTAACTCAATTCCTAGTGGAGACAGGTGTCAGATTATGAATGGGCTAACAAACAGGGGAACTGTAGGGGCAAGGTTTCCTATGTTCAAACTTAAATTCAAAACAAAACAAACAGTTCATTGTCCAAATTTCTTTTTAAGGCGAGAACGTGAGTATTCTATATGTAGCAGTGAAGATTCTCCTGGCTCTTGTGAAATGCTGTATTTCTCTGTGGGCAGTCCTGATCAGCTCATGGTGCACAAAGGAAAATGTATTGGTGAGTAAACGAGCCAAGTTCACTGAAATGTTTCTAAAGGCAAAGTTAATCATGAGGGAGCAGAATATGATAGAGACTGTGTCTAGCACAGTCCAAGGAAGACTACCAAACCAGGAGCCAGTCATTCTGACAGCCATTCCTAATGACCAGAAGCAGAAGTCACTAGAGTAAAATAGAAATAAATACCTATGCTTTTGGAAATATTATTAGCAAGATTTAAATTTATCATCATCCCAATGTGTAGAGGACACAGCTTCTGTGAAGGATGATGAAAAAAATCTGGGAACAGTTAATGGTGATGGCTGAACATGATGATGTAATTAATGTCACTGGACCATACATGTGAATGTTGTGAAGTGGCAAATGTTTTGATACCTGTGTATTTACTTACTATGATTTTTTTAAATTGTCATTATTAATATCCAAGCCTTTTGAAACAAAATGGTAGAAATATTATAAATCAATAGAATTTTGTATTTTGTGCATCTCTTACTGATTAAAAAAATATGTATAGCAAAGTAAATTCTAATGCCTGTTGATCTTTAATAACCAAATCTTATTTTCTTAAGTTGATTCCTAGCTGCTTGGGCAATTTCCTGTTTGATATGTTGTATCTGACCAGGAAAACCACTTTATATTTTATGTGTTTTATTGATCAGCTTTCTCTATTCATGGCTATTTAGAGTAAAGCTTATTCTGCAATTTGCATTTGAATAGTTTATATTAAAATCACGTTTGCAGTATCTTCTTCCTTCGTCCTAAGCAAGCATCACCTTTTTCTACTATACAGATAATGGCCATCAATTGGTAAAGATCACTTGCAAGTATTAAATTTGGTAATTAACTGTGATTTTCAATCCCTTGGCTGTTTTTACCAGAGTGAACAGGTAGCTACATGGTCTAAATTGAGTTTACTTCTTTGGTGTCTTTTTCTCTGCCTCTTTAATGACTTACATATATGCAAGTAGTGACCAGGGAACAGGTAGCAGGTGGAGGAGAAAAACCCAAACATCTGAATAATCTGATTTGCACACCTAACCCTGGGTGACCAAAAGTAGCCGGGGCAGTACAGACACATAGAGCCTTCCATGTCAGGCCAAAGCACCATTTGGGCAGGTTTAAGATGTTGGTAGAGGTGATGATTGTCTTTGGACCAGACACTGACCTTACTTAACTCAGAGACATTTCTGATTCATGGAATTGTAACAATCATGTAACACACACTACAAAAATCTGGGGCAATGAGGAAGGCAAATGAATTCAACTGCATATTACTTATTCCCTTAGCTCAGTCTCTTATTCTCACAGGTACTCATTAAACTGATTCACCTTGGTTAATACTCTCATTAGGGAGATAAATTTTCAATTTGAGAAATTTTCATAAAATTGCCATTTTTTTTCTCTCAATAGGTCTAGTTTTTAAAAAATATTCCCTAGGTTTATAAGAAATGTTTTATTTATAAAAAGTCAATTCATTTTTGGTTTTGAGTTTATAACTGTTAGAACTAGGGAGAAGAGGGAGCTTACATTATGCATGTGGATAGAGTACTAGGTTGTTCATTGTTGTTATGTGCTGTAAAGTCAGGTCCTACTCAGAATGACCCTATGTATGGAGAACGCAACACGATTTGGTCCTGCGCCATGCTCATAATTGTTGTTTGAGCCCATTGTTGTTGTCACTATGTCAGTCCATCTCACTGTGGGTCTTCCTCTGTTCCTCCGACCCTCCACTTTATCCAACATGATGTCCTTCACCAGGGACTGGTCCCTCCTGATAATATGTCCTAAAAAAGAGAGGCAAAGCCTTGCCATCCTCGCTTCTCAGGAGCATTCTAGCTATACTTCTTCCAGAGTATTTGTTTGAACAGATTTGTTTGTTCTTCTGATAGTCCGAGGTACTTTCAATATTCTTCTCCAACACTGTGATTCAGATGCATCGATACTTCTACCATCTTTCTTATTCATTGTCTAACCTTCATATGCATAAGATGTGATTGAAAATACCATGATTTGGGTCAAGCGTGCCTTAGTCCTCAAACTGGCGTCTTTGTTCTTTAACACGCTAAAGAGGTCTTTTGGAGCAGATTTGCCTAATGCAACATGTTGTTTGATTTCCTGACTTTAGTTTTCATAAGTGTCAGTGTGGATCCAAGCAAAATGACGTCTTAGAGAACTTCAATCTTTTCTCTGTTGATCATGATGTTATTGATTAGTAAAGCAATATAAAGAGTATCTTTATAAACGATCACTGTTAGTATATATCAACTACCAATGAGAGGTTTTTTGGTAACGGGTTTTCTTTTAGTGTCATTGCAGCGTGTTTTCTTTTAGTGTCATTGCAGCGTGTTCTTTTGTCCTTTTTAGTATCCCCATCATGCAAAAGTGGTAGAAAGAAGATGGCAATAATAAAAGTGTTTCTGTTTTATTAAGTGACCTCTAGTCAGTATTGAGGCACAGCTGGTAGGTTTCCAGAGAGCAGCTGGTGGGTTTGAACCACAAACCTTGTAGTTTGCAGTCCAGTACTTATCCTACAGCACCATACCAGGAGTCCAAGAAAAGCATAGTACCCCCCCAAATCCAGCAATTACAAAATGTCTCCCTACTCCCAGTTGGAGAGATAGATATTGCAAGATGTCACACTGTATACCAAACACATTCCATTAAGCCTTATGTAAATGATATCGTACTCTATCCCATAAACATTCAATATCATGGGTCTTCCATGTGTAACCACTTAAATTTCACATTCCACACAGGTTGCTTCTTTTGGTTGACAAATCTTCAAACATCAGGGTTTGTCCCTGCATTAGGCTAAGAGTGAAGGAGCCCCAGTGACACAGTGGCTAGTGCTTGCCTGCTAACATAAAGGTTAGCCATTCACGTCCACCAGCTGTTCTGTGGGTGAAAAATGGTGGCCATCTGCTTCCATAAGATTACAGCCTTGGAAACCCTGTGAGACAGTTCTACCCTATCCTATATAGTCACCACGAGTCAGAATTGACTCGGCTGGCAAATGGTATTTTTGTTTGTTTATTTTTGGTTTGGGCTAAGAGTGTCAAGAGTTGTTTGTGACAAGCATAACAGATCATTTTAATTCAAATCTATAAACTGTGAGCATTTCTATAAAGTAGAAACTGCTTCTCAGTTAAAAATTTAGGTGAGTTAGTTCATCCCTTTCTCCAAAGTATTTTTGCTAAAACTACTTTGTCTTATTATACAAATTATTTCACCTTTAAGTTTTCAGGTGGAAAAAATAATTCTCAATGTTTCCTTTTAAATAATGTTTTGGTATGAAAGCAATGTAGCATATGGAAAACTTTTACATATATGCTAAGAGAAAACTATGTATCGGGGGTAATTTTGCCCTTTACAAGACGTTTACTGATGAATAAGAACAAAAGAAAAAGAGAATAAACTATGGTTTGGTCTATCATGTCCACTCCTCTGTCATCATTTCAGATGATTGGCTAATTAATATAAGAAAGTAACATAATTTTAAAAAAGGTCCTTGGTTTATTAAACATACCACATCATTGTTGTGTCTCTGTTTAGAGACATTTTTGATGATCACAGCAGGGAGAGGAATGGGCTAGTGGGTAGAGGCCAGGGGTTCTGCCAAATATCTTGTAGTACACAAGATTGCCCCTTACAGCAAAGGATTATTCAGTCCAAAATGTAAATCATGCCAAAGATGGAAAAGCCTACATATATATGGAATCCTGGTGTGGTGCTGTAAGATAAGCACTCAACCATATGGTCCATTTTAAACCACAAGGTTGGTGGTTCAAACTCATCAGCTGCTCCTCAGAAACCCTATACAGGGTCTTTATGAGTCGCATCTGACTGAAAGGTACTTAACAACAACAAATATTCTATGCATACATACTATGTATATATACACACACACATACATACTATGGCTTGGTAAGGGAGGGTATGGTGGTACTATAGGGGAAACTAGAAGAAAAGCAATACAAAATGATGGTATTATAGGTAATGTTTTTCTCCACTCTCCAGGTTTTTTTGGTAATGTTCTATTATAGTCTTCAGTGAAAATGGTGTTGTTGTTAAGTGCCATCTAGTCAGTTCCAACTCTTAGCAACCCTGTATAGACTTTCTGAGGAGCAGCTGATGAACTTGAACCGCCAACTTTGCTATTCAAAACCAACCTTGCAGTCCAGCCCATTAACCTGCAGAGAATTTTTGGAATTAAAGAAGTGTAACTCTCCCAGTACAAAAATATGAAGTAACAACCATTCCTCCCAGACTTTCTCTATTCAACTGAGTTCAATCATACATTGCAGTGGCCACACAGAACCCAGACACCATACTCAGAGTTATGGGATTTAATGGGGAAGTTAACAGGTTACAATACAGGATCAAAAAATGCTCAGGGCACAATTGTTTCAGTCAGCTGCTGATAAATGCCCACAGGACACACCACTCCACCATAAGCCTCAGCCTAAAGGCTCTCAGCTCTAGCTCCATGTGTCAGCAAACTAGCTCTCCAACTTACGTGCCTGGAGGCATACCATTCTACAAGCAAGCTTCCTGCCCAGAGCCACTCAGCTTTACTTGCTCCATGTGCTGGGAAGCCCACTGCTCTCTCGTGTGTCCTGGGTCTTGGTTCTGTTGCTGCTGCTCTTCCTCTACCACTCCTCTGATATCACAGCTCTCTGTCCCTGGGTTGAGGAAGTTCAATGCACAGGGATCTTTGGTCTAAAGGACATGTTCCACTCCTGGCTGTCTTTCTTTGATGGTAGTGTGATCACCACTTTCCTGCTTCTGAGCTGGCTCACTTTATATTCATGCTAGAGTTTCAAGTTTTTATAATCATAATGAACTCTCTTAGCATCCACAGCTGAACCATAACATCCTATCAGTGTTTTCTCCTACCTTTTCTTACCCAAACCCAGCAAGGCAGACACGTTGTTTAGTGGGAGTTAATAGACTGTGGCTGGAAGAGATGTTAGTTATTTCACTACACCATACGTAGATACAAATGGAAAACATATGTCTATCACTAAATAAATGTATCTGCTTCTCTAGCTTCAAATGTAAATTGCCATTTCTAGTTCCTTCCCTCAATCAAAACCACTGGCCAGTTTGTATTTACCGAATGTGTTCAGATTTTGTGTTTAGAAAGTCATTGATGTAGTCAAATTTCCAAATTACCAGAATCTGTTTTTACTGTGCACACTAATGTACAGTTATAGAAAGGCCCTGATGGAGAGGTTTCTATCTCTAGGGTCAATCATTTTAGATGAGTTGAGCTGTGTGAAGTAACATTATTGCACCAATAGGCTGCCATCAGAGGTGAATTGGTTATGGAAGTAACATTGTGAATAATGGCTAATATTATACAACATTATTCTCTTTATTTTATCTGGTATCATTGTTGATTCTTGTACCCTTGTAAAAGTTAACATTTTAGAGATTAGAGCATATTATTAAATATAAAAAGCTGTTATAAAAATGCATACTATATGAAATTTTTTTCATAGTTATTACATGGTATCCATTGTTGAATGAATGAATGTTTATTTTTTCCTTCTTTTTTCTCACAGAAAACACACCAGTGAGATTTAATTACATTTTCTGCTTAATACACAGGCAGTGATGAGCAGCTGGGAAAGTCTGTCTATAATGCTTTGGAAACAGCCACTGGCAGCTTTGTCTTACTGTATGAATGGGTCCTTCAGTGGCAGAAAAAAACAGGCCCCTTCCTTACCAGTCAAGAAAAAGAGAAGATTGATAAGTGCAAAAAGCAGGTAGGTGTTACATGACTGAACAAAAGACCCAGTTTTGAAGTGTTCCCACCCAGTGTGATCAAGTCGATTCCAACTCATAGAGACAGAATAGAACTGCTCCATAAGGTTTCCAAGACAGTAAGTCTTCTTGGGAGCAGACTACCTCATCATCTCCTGTACAGCAACTGGTGGGTGTGAACCACTGACCTTGCAATTACAGCCTCCAGGGCTCCTTCTGGAAGTTCTGTGAGATGACAGAACATAATAGCTCAGCATTTGCTTCTCTCACAAAGATGATCTGTGATGTGAGATCCCTTTAGCCAGAGGGGACAGTGGGGGACCAGCACCTTCTTTGCTTGGGTTTTCTCAACCAGTTGCTGCTGCTTTTGGAACTGTCACATGGTCAGAACTTTTACAACTGCCCTAACTAACCTCTTTCTCCAGCTTTATTAGGGGATCAGCAGCCAACTCTCCTTTGTATTACAAATACTAATTTGTATTTCATAAATAATGCTTTTTGCATTCATTTCTATCTTCTCCACTCTTAAAATGCTGCTTCAAAACCATTTTGGAAGACTGGAGACCTTTACAGTTAATTTATAATACAGAGCTTGAGAAGAGCATTAATATTGCATGTTACAGTGTTATATCAGAGAGCATTTATAATGAACTGTATCAATGTGTATGTAACTGGAAGTAAAATCACAAGCCTTATCATTGGGTGGTGGCAATATAGACAATTTGGGAGTGTTTTGCGTTGTGGGTTTGTTGTTGTTTTTTAACTAGTACACTGTAGAATTCTGACAGTAAATCTACAATCTGAAAAAGTAATGTTTCTTTTTTCTTCTAGTGGCCATGTCCCAAAAGAAATTGCATTTAAAAGCTGTTCGCTAATTTTTAGGATTTCTAGACTAGGTTTTGGGATTAAAAAGTAGTTGAAAATTAACATTGTTTTTTTTTTCATCTTTATGAGCTATTTGACTTTACAGATTTGGGGAAGACATGTCCACCGTCTCTCCTTTAAAGATAGATTCTCTTCAGATGCTTCACTTTTGAAGTGGAACACCACTCACATTGGTCAATCCAGGTTGATTTTATTGTTTTCTTACATACCAGATTCAAGGGGCAGAAGCAGAATTCAATTCTCTGGTGAAATTGAATCACCCTAATGTAGTACGCTACATTGCGATAAATCTCAAGGAACACGACAACTCCATTGTGGTGGACATTTTAGTGGAGCACATCAGTGGGATCTCTCTCGCCACACACCTGGGCCACTCAGGCCCTATACCTGTGCATCAGCTTCGCAGGTACGCATCTCAGCTCCTGGCAGGCCTTGAGTATTTGCACAATAATTCTGTGGTGCACAAGGTTCTGAGCACATCCAATGTCTTGGTGGACACAAAGGGTACCATCAAGATCACGGACTACAGCATTTCTAAGCGCCTAGCCGACATCTGCAAGGAGGATGTCTTTGAGCAAACAAGAGTTCGTTTTAGTGACAGCGTCTTGCCTTATAAAGCAGGGAAGAAAGGGGATGTTTGGCGTCTTGGCCTTTTACTCCTCTCCCTCAGCCAAGGCCAAGAGTGTGAAGAGTATCCTGTGACCATCCCTGGTGACTTACCAGCTGACTTTCAAGACTTTCTAAAGAAGTGAGTATCACTAAGAATCTTAAACCAAATTTTATTCCTGGGAATATACTGAGTACTTTCTGTGAAGTGCCGGATGGAGGGAAATCGGATTATAGTTTACTCTTTGCTCTGACACTTTCCCAGCCTCATATTTTCTCGTTTCCATATGTTTATTAACCCCCTTAACACCCACATTTTCCTAGATTCACTAAAACTAGTTTGGGTGACTCCCTGGAGGGTGTTAGTAGGAATTACTATGGTGAGGAATGCCCTGGGTATACCAAACAGAAGACCCTCTCTGTTTGCCTTTGCTGCTGGTTCCAAAGGGATCACAGACAGGCCTCTTAATTGACAAAGCAGCTTTAGGAGTGTGTTCCTACCCCCTGTTCTAAACCATTCTTCATTAGCAATGTCTCATTCAGCTAAGTTGTAAAATGCAAATGACTTCTTTACTCTAGGCAGAGAAGGTTTGGGGTGCCTATGAATTACAGGTGCATGTGTAATTACAGGGCACGGTTCATCCAGTTTGAGAGAATCTTTACTGAGGAGCTTTGTTCAGGTTCTTCAGTCTTTTCTAGTGTAACGCTGCCTCTGTTCCCAGTCCAAGCCAAAGCTCAGTACTCCCAGTTTCTGTGTTAAGTGGGAAATAAGATCCCTGCAAAGTGGGTTTTGCCAGATACACCCCTGGCGCAGGCTTCCCTTCTTGTAGAGTGGACCTGGACTAACTTTATCCCTCCCCACCCTACTCCCCCAACTTTTTTTTGCGCTTACATATTTGTTTTGCAAAGTTGAAGGGTTTGCTAAGCTATGAAAAACTCACAATATAAGTGATAATTATTAGAGCATAAAATGAGTAGAAACACTTGTGTTAGTCAGAAAACATCATAAGCCTTTAAAAAAATTCCAACTAGCAAAATGTTACATCATCTATAACTGACAAATCAATGCTTTTCTTTTTAAAAGTTAAAAAGAACAAAATTGTATTGCTTTTTAGATTTAAAAAAAATAGTGAACATACACATAGCACAACATTTGCCAATTTGAAATTTAGTGGCATCAATTACATTAATCATGGTCTACAAAGTATATCACCATTATCTGTCGCTAAATTTTCCATCACCACAAACAGAAATTCACTGCTTCCTGAACATTCCCTTTTCCCTCCCTATCACCCTTGGCAATCCCTGATAAACTTTGGTCTCCAGACATTTGCCTGTTCTAGGTATTTCATAAGTGTGAAATCAGATAATATTTGTCTTTTTGCTCTTCGGAAACTTCATCCATGTTGTAGCATGCTTAAGGAATTATTTTCTTTTTGTGGCTGAGTAATGTTGTATAGATACACCACGTTTTGTTTAGCCAGCCAAGTGTTGATGGGCATTTAGGCTGTTTCTTCCTGTTGACGATGGTGACCAGTGATGTGATGACCAGTGTTGTGTAGTTGTACTTGCATCACTGCTTCCAAGTCTCTTTGGTATATTGTTGTTGTTGTTATTAAGTGCCGTCAAGTCCGTTCCCATGCATAGTGATTCTGTATAGAGTTTCCTAGGCTGTAAATCTGTAGGCGCAGAAAGCCTCATTGTTCTCCTGCACAGTGGCTGGTGGACTCGAACTGCCAACCTTGTGGTTTGCAGTCCACACAATTATTATGGAGCCATTAGGTGAGAAATTGCTGGATAGTTCCATGTTTAGCTTTTTGAAGGTTTCATCCCTTTTTGACATTCTGTCTTGTTTTCCACCTCCTCATTTTTCCAACCATTCATTTTTATCTACTTCATCCACTGCCTCCTTTTCTCTTATCCTTCACATTTCTTTCTCTGTCCCCATTTATCCCAGTCTCCAGTTGACCTCATCAATACTATTATTTCCTGTCACTTGTTATCTTACTCATTACAAATGTGCAAGTGCCTGCACTTACATGTAAATAGAACTAGATGTGACATACATATAATTGTGGAAGGGTGCTTACTTTGGGATATTTTCATGCTTTAAAAAAAAAGATTTTTAATACTTTAAAATAAATCTTTTTTTATTTCTTTTCAATGCAATAGAACTTTAAAATATTTCTTTATTTAGTTGCAACCTAACAGTTGTTGTTGTTAAGTATCGTGGAGTTTGTTCCTACTCACAGTGACCCTGCACAGGGTTTCCAAGGTTGTAAATCTTTACGGGAGCAGAACACCTCATCTTTCTCCCGCGGAACCGCTGGTAGTTTCAAACTGCCGACCTTGAGGTTCGCAGCCTGATTCATAACCACCACACAACCTAACAGTAAGGCTAGCTAACGTGGTATACAAGAAAATAAGGTGAAAGAACCACTAATGAGGGTCTTCTTAAAATGTAGATTCTGATTCAGTATGTCTGTGGAGAGGAGCCTTGGTGGTGCAGTGGTTAAGCACTCAGCTGAGAACTGAAATGTCAGCAGTTCAGACCCATCAGCTGCTTCATAAGAGAAAGATGCGGCAGTCTGCTTCTGTAGAAATTTACAGCCTTGGAAGGCGTATGGGGGAGTTCTGCTCTGTCTGTAGGAGCGCTATGAGTAGGAATCAGCTCAACAACAGTGGATTACGTATGGGATGGAAATGCAAATTCTCAGGCAGGGATTGAACCAGAGTGAACTAATTCATTTTATACATAGAGATTTTTAAGTCCAGAACTCACAGTGTGTTTTTTAAGTACATTATTTATAACTAGGGTCAAGCGCTACCAAGTAGTAATAATTGGGTCATCATTGTGGGACCTACACAGCTTAGATTAGTGAGAACAGTGGTTTTCAGGCCTTAGTTTAGATAGAAATCTCCTGAAGCATTTCTTCAACTACAGATTACTGTCCGTACTCCCAGAGTTGCTTATTGAGTAGGTGTAGGGTAGGAAGAATATATAGTTCTTACAAATCCTCCAGATGATGCTACTGGGGCTGCTGGTCATGGACCCCATTTGAGAACCAGTAGGTTAACAGTATGCCTTGTTTGAGATTGAGTTGATTGTGCTTTCACTCAATACAAACAAAACCAGAAAGAGTCAGGAATAGTAGGAGTAAATGTGTGACTAATTGTCTTCATAAACATCTCCCTCCTTTGTCAGGAGACCAGAACTGGATACTTTCTGTCTACCATTATTGAACATTTTGATCAAAGATTTTAAAAAAGAATCCTAATCAAAAGGAAGAAAACTGGAACAAAATTCCATATTCTCATGGAATCCAGACTTTCTGGAGACACTGAGGCTAAATGAACCCCCAAAACTATAGCCCTAAAATAATCTTTAAACTTTAAACCAAAAATATCTCTTGGAGTCATTAAAATAAATAATAGCTTAGCTTAATTAGTAAAGAATGTCTACCTTGAGCACTGTGCTCTTTTTAAGAGCTATCTATATGGATTCAACTTGACAATAGCAACTTGAAATGTTAGACAGGCAATCAGTTTATGTTAATGTTGAACGAATGATTTGGAAACAAAGGATGAGAATGTTTGCACAACTTAAAGAATAATCAGTATCACTGACTACGTGTAGAAATTGTTGAACCAGTGTTATGTTTTGCTGTATATACTTTCTTTTTTTTTAACTTTTTATTGTGAATTGAGTGAAGGTTTACAGAGCAGATCATAAGTTTTACATTCAACAAATCATATACTTTGCTTCATTATATGCTTGCAATCCCTTCCATGCACCAACAGTTAACAGCATTTACCTCAATTCACTTTAACCCCTGCGTTCCTCCCTGTGTCTCCCACCACCCCCATCTTTCCTCTGCCAGCCTCCCTCTGGTTGTATATTGCCTGCCTCATCACCCATGTCGAAGCATGACTACCCTCTAATGTGTATATATTTTCAACAATAAAAATTAATAAAGTGAAAAAGATTTCAAAGCAAAAACTTTATTAGAAACTTAAATAGTAAATAGACTTAAGGAGACAGGGATAAAAGAAAGTAATTGGTAAAATGTGGGTAAAAGTTAGTAAAAAGTATTCCTTAAATTCTACCAACTTATTTCATACAGTGATGAACAGACTTCATTAAATTATATCATTCTGGGCCCCAGCCCTCTATCAGTTATCTGATTTCCTTTCCCTTTAGAAAGCTGTATTTATGACTAGCCCCTGGAAAGGCTAAAGGAGCTCTAGTAGCATAGTGGTTACGAATCAGGCTGTGAACCACAAGGTCAGCAGTTCAAAACTACCAGCTGCTTCACGGGAGAAAGATGAGGCTTTCAGTTCCCGTAAAGATTTACAGCCTCAGAAACCCTGTACAGGGTCGCTATGAGTCAGAACCGACTCCATGGCACATAACTACCACCTGGAAAGGCTAGTTTAACATGCATTAAACTGGTCACAGGAGTGAAAATCCCTAGTTTACTTGTGCTATTTTTAGACTTTAAAAATAAATTATTCTTTGAAAGTAAGTCTTTCTGCCTCCAAAGACCCCCCTTTTTGTTGTTGTTGTTGTTTATTATTTTATTATTGCCTGTATGCAATCTGGTGTTCAGCACCTAACTAACACCTGTAGAAATGCTCATTGATTTAAATTGGCTTATGAGTGACATGAATGCTCTGATGTATATCTTTAACAAGTGAACCCACAGTTAAGTGTCTTGGATGAGCTACTTTAGCATCTCTTCTGTGTGTTGCTGAGATTCTTCCTTCTCTCTCACTGAGGTGCATTTGCTTGGATGACAAGGAAAGATGGAGTCCTCAGCAATTGTTAAAACACAGCTTTATAAATCCTCAGCCAAAAATGCCTTTACTGGAACAAAGTCCTGAAGGTGAGTCTGGTACCATTCTTTATTGATACCTTATTTGATGTTAAATTATTTTTAAATTGTATGTAGGCCTAAGAGACTGCATGAATTCTGTATTTAATCTATTTTATACAGAGCTATAAGGAGCCCTAATGGTACAATGGAGTCCCGGAGTCCTAGTGTGGTGCTGTGGGTTAATGCGCCAGACTGCAAAGGCGTTTGAGCTGCAAGGTCGGCAGTTCAAGCTCACCAGTGGCTATGGGTTGGAACCGACTTGACGGCACTTAACAACAACAACAAATGGTACAATGGTTAAGCACTTGGCTGCTAACCGTAAGATCACTGGTTTAAATCCACCATCCACTCAGTGGGAGAAAGATATCATAGTCTGCTTCCATAAAGTTTAACAGCCTTGGAAACCTTATGGGGCAGCTTTTCTCTGTCCTAGGGTGCCTATAAATTGGAGTAGATTTAACAGCAATGATTACACAGAGTTGGACAGAAATCCATTCAGTTGATGTTTACTGTATGGTGGGAACTATTTTGCCAACCTGATTTTTCCAGCAGCTATTAATGCCGTCAGTGTCCGTTGTTATAGCCTCTCTTAGTGTTTGTTGTTGTTGTTGTTGTTAAGTGCCATTGAATCGATTATGACTCATAGCTACCTTGTGTAGAGTTTCTATGGAGCTGCTTGTGGGTTTGAACCACTGACCTTGAGGTTCAAACCAACCTTGTGGTCCAGTGTATTAGCCTGCAGCGCCACACCAGGACTCTTAATTGTCTTATCACCCTTATTGAATCTAACTAAACTTCCCTCAGAAGTGTGGGTGGTCAAGTAGTTTGCAAACTGCTGCTAACCAAACAGGTTAGTGGTTCAGACTCACGCAGGGGCTCGCTGGAAGAAAGGCCTGGTGATCTGCTTCCTGAAAGATACAAGAAACCCTATGGAGCAGTTCTACTCTGGGGTCACCATGAGTTGGGGACCAACTTGAAAGCAGCTAAAAACACCAACGGGTTTCCTTACTGATAAGTTAGTTTCTGATGGTCACCCCGTAATTATGACCAAGCAGATTAAGGAAGCTCAGGAGAGATTGCGGGCTGGGTCAGGAGACCTGGGTTTTGGGTTCTGGCACTAATCATTCAGGCACATGCGCTCTCTGTTAGCCCCACCTGTAAAGTGAGAGTAATTATAAATTTCTACCTATTTCAAAGAGAACAGGTGGAAAACGTTATTAAAGGGTCTGCCAGGTAAGTGATACTTTTTGAAACTACTGATTGGGAACCTTCTTCTGGTGCTCACACTCTTGTTGGATCTTGTAGCGCTTCCAATATTTTTATGAAGTCTATTTGCCCCTTATTTTTTGTGTTAATAAATCAGATTCCGGAGGACAAGATTATGTTGAGACTGTGATTCCTAGGAACCATCTACCCAGTGCTGCATTCTTCAGTGAGACCCAGAAACAATTTTCACGCTATTTCATTGAGTTTGAAGAACTACAACTTCTTGGCAAAGGGGCCTTTGGAGCTGTCATCAAGGTGTGGTACAGAGATGTCCCCAGTTCCTAATAGAGATCCTTCTCTGTTCCATTTCTGCAAAGACTTAACGGGGACAGGAAGAGACGTTAAGTACCACCATTTAAAACTGTGATCATCTTCACCTTCTTAGAATTAACAAGGCTTTATTTAAAGTAATACTGGATACATTGAGGGCATGCCACTGCTCTTTCCTTGCTTGATGTAGAATTTTAACGTGGAAAATAAAATTAGCTATAGCATGGTTATAATAGCACTTCATTTGGAGTCAAGACCTCTAAGTGAAGCATGTTTGTGTGCTTTGGTTCAGAAAGATAAGTGTTCTTTTTCCTCTAGTAGTTGTTAGATAGCAGTGGATAAAAGGGCTCTCAGGTTAGAACAGAGATGGGTCTTTAACTGGGGATGGCTCCAGATGGTTTGGATGGCTTTTCTTTTCCACCTGTTATTAAGCTGGAACATGAGTGATGTCCTATTAGGGTGTACTGTTTTTAGGGCTTCCTTTCTTTATTCCAATCTATTTGGGTAACTTTTATTATCTGCAGAAAGGTATTTCAAATGCTTTTATATAATTAAAGTATTTTTATTGAATTTAGGAACCCAGTATTATATATATTAACCATATATAACATATATTATATTATATATTCTCTGGTAGCGTAGTGGTTACGAATCGGGCTGTGAACCACAAGGTCAGCAGCTCGAAACTATCAGCTGCTCTGCGGGAGAAAGATGAGGCTTTCTGCTCCCGTAAAGATTTACAGCCTCGGAAACTCTGTACAGGGTCACTATGAGTCGGAACTGACTCCACGGCACATAACAACAACAACAATTATGTATTAAAGCCATATAAGGTATATGTCATCTTTCACATATGAAGGTGGCCCACTGTGTGTAGGATTCTGCACTGTAGGGTAAGCACTAGACTGGTAACCACAGGGTCGGCAGTACACACTTACCAGCCTATACGGGAAACCCTATACAGGGTCACTATGAGTTGGAACCAACTTGACAGCATCACTGGACTCCAAAGTCCATGCTAATCTTACTGGAGATGACTTTTACATAGAAAAAAAAGTGTTTTTCTGCAGTGGTCGGAGACAGAAAGAAAGTTTTCACAAGGAAGTTACAGTACCATGGGAAATATTCAGCCTTTTCTTGAATGTGTAGACAGTACTGTTAGGTGACAAAATAGCCTTCTGTTAGGATGATCATAGTTATCTTAAAGAGGAGAGGATGATTCAAGTACTAAGTAAAACATTGCTTCATTTTTTCACAAGTACTTAGAAATAATTAGTGGACATATATAACAAG